GATGATCATAACGGTCCCTTCTGACCTTAAAGTCTATGAGTCTATGAGAAGGGGCCTTGCAGTTTTTAATTGCTTGGCTGAAATACAGAAAGAACAACACAACAGAAAGCAGCTCCCAGAAAGGCAGGATGGCTGTGTGGTTAAAGCAGAGAACAGAGACGGGAGAGCGTGGGGGTCTATTCCCAGTTCTGCTGCAGGCTCCCTGGGGGTATGTCTACACTACCCTCCTAATTCGAACTAGGAGGGTAATGTAGGCATACCGCACTTGCAAATGAAGCCCGGGATTTGAATTTCCCGGGATTCATTTGCATAAGCGTGGCTCCTCCATTTTTAAATCCCCGCTCGTTCGAACCCTGTGCTGCGCGGCTACACGCGGCACGAACTAGGTAGTTCGAACTAGGCTTACTGCCCCAGAGGTGGTGCCCCAACATTGCTGCCGTGGGCACCATGGTGGGTAGGACTGAAGGTGCCGGAGCCGTAGTGGCCACCCTTAAAGGGATCGGTGTCACCAGCAATGGTGGTACCAGCATGGCCCATGGGGCCAATGCCGGTACTTGAATCGGTGCCGGAACTTGCAGCGGTGCTGATGATTGTAGCGACACCCTGGGCAAGAGGCCCAGTGCCGGTACTGCTGACGGTGCCGCTGACAGTGCCACAAGGCCTGAGTAGTACGGCACCAGCGCAGCTAAGACCGGTTCTGGGAGACGTCCCAGCACCACGGGAGGTCGAATCCAGTTGAGCGCCGGGTGAGGCCTGGCAGCCTGTGCCGAGACTGGCAACGACGTAGAGGCAAGTGGTACTGGTCCCACAGGGGACGGTCCCACTGCATATGTGACCGATGCTGACTGATCCAACTGGTGCGGAGGAGAAACAGGTGCCAACATGGCTCCCAGCATAGAAGACCTCGACCTCTCCACCTCAACAGACGACGGAGGAGAGGTAGCGAGGCTAATCAAATCCTGCGATGCCTCAAAAGTGTCCGGCGTCAAGGGACGATGCAAGGGTAGCTGACCCAGACTGGATGGTCGGCCTGCTCGCTTCCGCCACACAGCAGCACTTAGAGATGTCTGCACCGGTGACTCGAAGCAGACATCTGCACCAGAGACCTGGACTTCCGGCGAAGTCTTTAGTTTCTTTGGTGCCGGGGAGTGAGAACAGTGCCGAGCCCTCGGTACCGAAGTCCGCGCACGGGATGGGTCGTCACGCGTCGATGCCAGCGTACTGCACACCGTGGAGTGGCCAGTCAGTGCCTGTTGTAGAGCTGCCTCCATGAGGAGAAGCTTCAAACGCGAGTCTCGCTCCCTCTTAGTGCGCGGCTTGAACGACCTGCAGATCTTACAGGCGGCTTCTAAGTGGCCCTCACCCAAACACTTTAAGCAGTTATCGTGAGGGTCTCCCTTAGGCATAAACTTAGCGCATACTGTGCAAGCCTTAAAGCCTTGCGGCTCTGGCATTCCTCACCCCCGAAGGGGGGAAGGAAAACGAAGAACTCGCTAACTATCTAACTAATTAAAACTATTTATAACTATTTACAAACACTACACTAAGAGATACGGGAACCATTAACTATTCTAAGAGAGAGACACGCTCCAACGACCATCACGGGAGCTAAGAAGGAACTGAGGTGGGGGGGGCGCTGGCAGGGGGACTTATGCTCCGCCATAGCAGCACCACTCCAGGGGGCGCCCTGCCGGCGCTACAGGTACCGCTAGGGAAAACGCTCCGGAGACGCAGTGCGCACACCTGATTCGAATGGACATAAGCAACCACTGAAAGAAGAATAACTACAAGTCTGCGAAGGAGAGAACTTCCGGGGAAAGGAGATTGGGTGTCTGAAATGCACCCAGAACTCCAAGTTTTTCCCTGGACTCTACAGATACCAAAACTTCGCATAGCTATTTTAGACACTAAGGCAACATGAGCTTTCAGGTTGAAGAGGAATTTTTGGATGTCTTGAATTCTTTAGCTGCCTGTGTGGCTCAAAAGCTTGTCTCTCTCACCAAGAAAATTTGGTCCAATAAATATTACCTTACTTGCCTTGTCTCTGCCAGTCAGAATAATAGTGAAGGGTCAGCACAAAGTCAACAGTAAAAAGAGGAGCCTGTAAAAGAGAGGCTTCGGCAACAAGGTGGTACCAATCACTATTTTCTTATATCTTACATCCAAGAACAAGTGTAATCAGAGACCAAACAACAATTTTACCCATTACTACCGGGAACCACAGCATGCTCACTTGTATCTAGTGAGCATTTGAATCAGAGTTTGACAGACCGAAAAGGACAGATACCTCATGTCTATCATAAAATCATCACCAATTACGTTAATTACAGGATATCAATTACAGGATATCAGAGAGTCGGAATTTAGACAATAGTATCAGAGATATCAGATCATGATCAACTGGAATACCAAATGAACAACATTTCACTATCCCTCTCCAAATTGAGATAAGAGACCACCCAGTACTTTGCAAATAAGTCAGTGTTAAGAGGAAAGTATTTCAAGTAGACACTACTTCTCTGAACATCTACTTGCATCTACTGAAAGTGCAACCTTTAGATAGGCATTTTTCACACCAATAAGCTCAGCTTTACTCCATTAGCATTAAGAAAACAGAAAAGACAAAGATCCATGCTAGCTCCAATCTACGAAGTACCAGTTGACCTTCAGAAACATACATTCTGAAATTCTACTAAGGCAGACTGGGCTTTCATCCCTTCCTGCCTTATTACTGATAGCAGTGTAGGGATAGGACAGGTCCTGAGCATACAGGATTCACCAAACAGCCTGTCAGTGACCAGGTCATGGGATTATACAGTAAAACCTTTGTTATCCGGCACTCTGTTAACCAGAAAACTTTGCTAACCGGCACTGCCCACAGCCACAATACTGTCACATCTTCAGGTGCACTAGCCTGGCTTGGTTTACCATGATTGGCTTAACAATTTGTTATTTAAGAAGTCCTAATCATCTTTAACTCAAAATAGAAATGTGATATCAACTGCCTCACACTACAAACCTACCAATATTAAGAACTTGAGTTTTACTATTATTGTCCATTAGTTTTTCCTAGTTGATGGGACCCTTAGATAACTGGAATTTTTAGATAACTGGAATGCCCTAATCCCCGAGTGGGCCGGTTAACACAGGTTTTACTGTACTGAGTGGTTAGACCAAGATTCAGGCTTAGTGCTTAGAGGAGTTGTTACTGAGGAATTGAAGCCCAGTGTGAGAGATGGAGTCAGAGGCCAGATGACAGTCTAACATCAAGAACTGGAGACAAGATTCAGGAACAGGTTAACCAGAGTGAGGCAAGGCAGGCATAAGGTTGGAGCCATGACTGACAAAGGAGCTAACCTTGCCAATGGCAAATACTTTGAGCAACAGCTGAAGTGCCTCTGCTGCAGGATTTAAGGGGTTTAAGGGCTGGTCTAACCAGACAATGTGGCCAATCAGACAACCTGCTATAGGCCAGCTGTTCTTGTTAGATTGCCCAGAGACGACCTCTGCTGCAGGCCCTGCTTCCTGACACAACTACAGCTAAAAGAGTTCTACAAATGATTCCAAGGCTTTGCTATGAGGTAGTAAAAGATTATTGACTTCCACCACACTGTGCTTTGAGTAGCCTATAAGGCCAACCTGCTTGCTTGTCTATAGATATATCGATTTACTATTTTCTTATGGTTTTGATTATATATTTATTATAATAAGTTACGGTAGGTATATATTGGCAGTTTGGCTGTAACACAAGGAACTTACAGGCTATGTTCTGTATGTTCAGCTAAGGCAAAGTTATCATTTTTGCCTGGAACCTTTCACCCAGACAGTACAGCTAGCCCAAACATGTCTGGGACCCTTCACTCAGATAGCAAAGACTACTTGCATATATTTAGAACCTTTCACCTAGATAAAGCAACCTTCAATGGCATAGGGGCTTCCAAGAATACTCTCAAACTTAACAGATACATTATTACTTAGAAAAAACAAAAATAACTGGTTGAGACTAGACCAAATAACCAGGCAGGACAGAAATAACAAATGTGGTAGACAACTACAAAAGTCCCATGGTAATGAACTGAAGTATTTGATAGTAAGTTGAGATCAATGATATACTGACCTACAGGAAAAAGACACTTCAGTAAGGTGAGGAAATACAAATTAGGAGAAAAGGAAACATCTGCTGAATATGTATCAAACATAACAATATCCGAGAAACATAGAAGTGGTATCCCAGCCTACGGACAGTAGGAAAAGGAGATACAGTCCTTGGATGGTGCCAGAATGATGGCCAATGGTGATGATGGGGAAGGCGAAGCTGTGGAGGAAGATGATGGTTAACATCTCAGGTTGTTCTAGAAGGAACGGTGTAAGTATATGGTATGGAAATACAGATGTATATTCCCTATTTATCTTATGAAACAGAGATGTTTGTGACTGTGCTAAACGTATTAATAAACTTTTTTTTTTTTACAAGAGTACAATATGTAAGAGTTCCTATAGTGTGAGTGTTGCATCTATGCACATCAGGGTTCCCAACCATAGAATAACTGACAAAAGGTCAGTCAACCCTAAAAGTGGAAACTGAAAATTCATAAGTAATTTTAGATTAGGCAACAGTTGGGGGAGTCTATGTAGAGACAATGACAGACCTCCAAATTAGCCAGCCCTTTCCCTGCCATGCCAGTTCCTACAATTAATCACGAATCCTAAATTAGCCATACACTTATTTTATTAGAGCTTCATTTTAAGTTTCAATGAATGAGACAAACGGGAAAGTAGTCTGCAGGTAGGCAAGTACCTAACATTGCGTCTACACAGCAGGGTTTAACTCGAATTAAGCTACACAAATTGAGCTACATCAATTGCATAGCTTATTTCAAAATTGGGAGCATCTACACAGCACTTATTTCCAAATAGAGCACTCTTCTTCTGACTTCCCTTACTCATCGTAAAATGAGGGTTCAGGAGTTGGAGTAAGAAGTCCTCCAGCTTGACAGGGTTTCCACATTATTTAGAATTAACTGCCTCCTGTGTAAACATGGACTAAGTTATTTCAAAATAAAACACTGCTGTGTAGATGTATCCTCAGTGAGCTTTAGAAGTAAGTAAAGGTAAATAACACACAAATCATTCAAATGTTCAAAGAAAATCAAAGAAACACGTGGACCTAACTTCCAAATCACTAGCTTATCATCAAGTGTAAGATAACATTTAGGACATTTTGGTTTTTGAAACCCTTAAGTTTGTGATAAGACTTTAGTATTTTTCTTGCAGACAGTAAAATAGTTTCTGGTCTTATAAATAAAGGAAAACAAATTAAAACAATAAAAAGGCTTACAGGTTTGTATCTTAGTGCATCTCTGTAGGATCCAAACAATGCTGCCTGTGCCCTAAGGAAAGCTCTAGCTACTCCATCACCCGTAGCTGTAGACTGTTTCTTCAGTTTATTTTTCAAGGCTGAGACCTGCATGACAGAGAGGAACAGTTAAATTAACACCTCAGAAATTGGTACAGTGAGGTATGAACCTAATCAGCAGGCAAACCACAGTGTCTACAGGTCAGCCAAAAATTCATCCTCCTCCTTGATGGCTTATCTTTTAAACTGCAAAGAGCACCTGCTGGTCTGTTAATTGAAACGAAAGTGGGGGATGATGGTAAAGTGCTAATGTAAATTGGTTTATGCTCTCTTTTTTCCAAGGCCTCTTGACATAAATAAGCTTTAATTATTTTACAGTAAACTGCTTGTGAGTCACTTTTTGCAGATTTTTTGCAATCATAACGTGTCTGCTTGTCTGAGATGAAGCCAGTTGGACATCGTTCATTTATGCTATGAAGGGTTATTTTTAAGGACACTGAAAGCTCACTTGTCACTCAATTTTAGGATTTTTTTCTTTGATAACTTATTAGCATGCATTATTTTTCATGAATCATGGGAGCAGTTGCCACCATTATTTGCTAGTTGGGGAAGGGCTGTGTAAATTCAGTAGTGTGAGGGTCTTTACATTTGTCCTAAGGAATAAAACAAGTGAATAGGGGGAAAGAAGAAGGGAGGGGATAACACCCTTTTATTAGTGATGAGGCACCTGCAGTAAGAAAAAAGCCCATTAATTACATCATCTGATTTCTGAAGGAGCTCTACCCTGTTTTATGGGATAAACAACAAGTTCTGGCTATATAACTCTGGAAAGCATGAGTAATGCTAAATTAAAAGACCATTCTTTTGTTAAAGAAGCTTTGGAGCAAGATCATATGTTTTGTAATTTTTCTGATATTCCAAAATAAAAAGATCTTGGAAAGCAGATAATAAGAGCACTTTAGCACCCTTATTTTAAGATGTAGTTGGAGAAAAAGATTAATTGCCAATATTACAAAGATGTATTTCCATATTAATTTTTATTGCAAAGTGTCTAGCAAAACAATATGTAAGTTATCAGACACTCCTCAAGTTGGCTATTCTTTAAACAGAACTTTTAGGCTACCCTTTAACAGCACACAGTATCAGGTTTCATTCTTTTATAAATGTATGCAAGAATGAATATCTTTTTGTTTCTTTATGCAAGCAGTCAAGACTGTTCTTGTAGATGATGATTGTAATTGAAGTGTCAACCTAATTAATAACTAAACTTGGAATAATGCTAATGAGAACTGAACATGGCATCAGAGAAAAGACCAGCTCTACAGGTGATAAACCTTCACAGTAGTGACATTTTCCACTGTAAAGTCACAGTTACTGTGATCTGATCAAAGAGAGAGATCCCCATTGGGTCCAATTATAAATATAGTTTTGAAAAAAATTAGTGAGTTATGATGTTCATAATCTATGCAGAAAAGCCTTTACAGTATAGGTCTTCTCCCCATAGCTGTGATCTTTTCAATTTATATCCAAGCTCCATAGATCCAGATAAAAGTTTAGAGTCTGATTTGGTTAGCCCATGGAGAGCACACAGCAATGCTCATTTAACGTTTTTTTTTAAAGTTACACCTCAAAAGAAAAAAAAGAGTACAATCCAAAGTACAAGAAACAGTTACAAAGTTCAAAATTGCAAAAATAAATGCGTCATTTAACATTCTTTGTTCTGTAATTTATGATTATTTTGAAGGTTATTAAAATTGAAGATTATTAAATTCAAGGGAAAAACATTCCTAAGTTCTTTTGCAAGAGAGACGTGCCAGCAATTACAGTTATATTTCACTAACATTTAAATAAGAGAGAAAGGGTCAGCATGAAGGAACCTGGTGTGTCAAAAATGAAAATCGGATTTCCACTTTTTTAAATCAGTACAACAATTCCCAAATGTAAGAGATAGAAATCCCCCCTTCCTCTTTAAAAAAATGTATCTGTATTCATGTAAATTATACATTATAAATGGGTCTGTGAAAAAAATAATGAAAAAATTTTCATATGATTCCAAGACATCTTTGGACAGCAAAATTGTTCATGTTGCAATTAACTTTTTTATAATCTCATGTCTTGTATGTTTTCGTATAAAAACTGATCATCAAATTGAAATTTCACTCTTTAAAACAGAATATTTTGTTTAAAAAAAGTAAACCCATCTTAGTGGTTCATTTTTTGAAAAGCAATAACAAAAAAAACCTATACAAATTTGGCAGGTTTCACAAAATGGAAACAAATTCCAAAATCTCTAACATTTTAAAATGTAAATGAAAATATTTTTCGCCTATTGAACAGTGAATTAGGAGATATTAATTTCCAACACAATTATGCCAACTGAATTTAACAGATTAATCATAAAAAATTTTACTGAGACAGGACCTTTCAAAAGAACGCATACTATTACATACTGATTAGAGACTGTCATTTGCCTTACTATTTGAATCAATACATGGTTTGAAGCTACGCATGTGCTAAAATGATTTACTGGATAAGTGCTAGAATACTAAGCACCTTTCAGAATCAAGTTGCCATACACAAGAATCAGTAGAGTTTACTGCCAGCAGTGCTCTTGACAAACAGAGGAAATAAGACCTCAGACCTACTCCCTATACATCAGTCTGCAAAGAAAGATCAACAAAGGAGGACCTTACACTCCACCCACATAAAATGCAGCTGTCCTTTCTGTCTCTCACTCATTCCTCTTCTCTCCCTGAGGTATTCTGCATGATGAGCCAGAATCCCTTTGTAGTTTCCCACTCTGGCAACTCCTCCCTCATCCCAATGAAGGCTCCAGCTATCCAAACTACAGAACAACCTTTAATGTTGTTCTACTGCAGCTTCTGATGGACTGATACTTATTATCTGTCCACAGTCCTAAAGACATCCTGCGATAAGAAACAAACAACTGAGTCAAAAGGAACAAACAGTACCTCACAAAGGTATCTAATAAAAAAGGGATAAACCACACTCTGCTGATGTATAACCAGCTTCATCACAAAGCTAATCAAATTAACCAAGTAATAAATGTATCTTAAATCTGATTTTATTTTTGCAGCGCCACAGGTGTTCTCTACAGACATTTAAAAATAACAGATCGCTCCCCAGAAGAGCTTATTATCTAAGGCTCCCATCTTGCAAACACAGAGTAATTACTTCCATAAGCACTTGCATGCTCAAGCTCTAAGTTTAAAGATAATTAAATCAAGCAACGAAAGTGTCAGAAGAAGGGAGGGCATAGATTACAAAAAAGATGTTGCTTTGGCATTACATACATATAATGGGTCTATATTTGTTTTCTTTTTGTACAGATAAATGGGAGAACTAGGGATTACCAACATATGTTGATGATTACCCTACCCAACTATCTGGGTAAAGAAGAACACAGCACAGTCAGCAATGACACACTGAAGAGCAGGGGGAGGTACGTTTTCAGTTCAGAGGAGAGAAAATCTTGCAGTAAACATAGGAAAAGGAGTTGGGGGGAGATAAGGCCGCTTGTGGGAGAAGAGGATGTATAAAGGTAGAGTGAGGGAGGAGAGGATGACATAAAGCTTGGTGACAGAGGGACCAGCTTATATATTCAGTCAAGAAGAGAAGTTAAAAACCGGCAATCAATAGGGCCAAAGCATATTGTGTGTGGTAAAGGTAAGCTAGCCAGCTATACATGTGTGAGAACTTCCTCTTGTGCATCCATTTATAAGAGCAGCAGAAAGCAGAGAACCACTACTGCTGCAGTGCTGGATGCCTTCTGACCGTATTAGTTCACTGGCATTGAGAACTTCACATCGAAGTCATCTGAGCAGCAACCACAGGGTGTCAACATGAACGCAAAGGCTCTCCACTGTAAAAAATGGTAAGAATTCTACGCATTCCAAGGGTATGTCTAGACTGTAAGCTTCTTTCAAAAGAAGCTTTATTTGAAAGAGCTCTTTCGAAAAAAGCTTCTTTCGAAAGAGAGCATCCACACCTCAAAACCAGATTCAAAATGCGATTTGCTTTTTCGAAAGAGAGCATCCAGATTGCATAGATGCTCTCTCGCAAGAAAGCCCTGATTGCTATTTACAGAATGGCCACCAGGGCACCTGTGCTTTTTTACAATTGCCTTTTCTTTCGAAGAATGTCCCTGTTCTGGGTCCACACACGTCTTTTTTCGAAAGAGCTCTTTTGAAAAAGGCATTCTTCCTCATAATTTGAGGTTTCCTAATGTCAAAAAAACCCAAGTTCTTTCGATTTAATTTTGAAAGAATATGATTGCAGTGTGGACGCAGGTGAAGTCTTTTAAAAAAAAAGGGCAGTTTAAAAAAAAAAGTAATCTAGACATACCCCAAGATACATCGTGCTATAGCAGCAAGAGTAATGTTAACAGCTTTCATAAAGACTGCTAATAATGGCAAATTTATCTTCCAAAAGATTATTTTGTAGTTCAACCTTCCCTAAGAACACTAAGCTACAGGCAAGGGGTAGCTCCACCAGATCACAATGGACTTCTCAATCTTGGCAACCAAGGTTTGACAAGTCAAGATCTCTCTCACAGACCATATGCAGTGACAAGAGCTCCTTTAGCAGTGACCCCACAAGAACTGTGTCACTGGAGTGGCACTGGCACAAGCTTTGCAAAAAAGAACAGAGCTGAGGAAAGTGTTGATAAAAACAAAAGAGAAGTTTGAAAGTAACAGACTGAATTAAAACAAATCAGTACTTGTGCAGTGACTCCTCTTTTAAGAGGAGGGAATAGATGTGAAGTGCTCCTTAATGGATTAATTTCACTTGGCTGTGGGGCTGGATCTTGGAGCATGTTAACAGAGAAAGATGGGAAAAATGATTTGCTAGTGATAGTAAGCGAAGAAGGGGAAATGTGAGTCACCTGGGATGACAGGACAGTGGAAATATTAGTAACACAAATGCATAAACAAAGACTAATAAATTTCAAATATACATTTATACAGTATCAGTAACAAAATCAGGCATGTTGTAAGTTTGTATATTGTTATGTAGCTTGTGTGGTGCCCAAAAAACCCACAAAAGCTAAAACTGGAATCAAGCAATTTACAGGAGGCAAGAGTAAC